TCTGGCCTTGGCTTAAGGATACAAAGTTTCAATTACAGAAGATAAATAAATCCCAGATACCTACTTCCAGCCTATGCTTGGGTCACCAGGGGGTTTGGCCAGCCTGCAAACCACCACAGGCCCCTCGTTCAGGCTTCCCCATGCCCCAGGGGAACCCCCATCCTGATCCGGGACACCCTTCAGGGCAAACGAGCCTGTCCCCACCTGTGCACCAGGCCTCTATCCTATCTAACAAAAGAGTAATATGCAAATTGACCATCACTCTAACACACAAATGGCAGCCCCCATGTGGTCAAAGATTGCTGCCCTTCATGTGGACACTAGGTGGCCAGCAGGGGAGGGCAGTTGGGATGGACCAGGCCTGCAAGGGAGGGCAGTTGGGGGCAATCAAGCCTGCATGGAAGGGCAGTTGAGGGGGGGACCCAAGATTGCAAGAGAGGGCAGTTGGGAGGGGGCAGGCCTGCAGGACAGGGCAGTTAGGGGTGACCAGATCTGCAGGATAGGGCATTTGGGGGGGACTTGGCCTACAAGGAGGGAAGTTGGGAGGGGACCAGACTAGCAGGGAAGAGCAATTAGGGATGATGGGGCTGGCCGGGGAGGGCAGTTAGGGTTGACCGGGTCAGCAGGGGAGGGCAGTTGGGGGGGACCAGGCCTGCAGAGGTAGGCAGTTGGGATTAACCAGATCTGCATGGAAGGGCACTTAGGGGTGACCAAGCTAGCAGGAGAGGACATTTAGGGGCAATTGGGCTGGCACAGGAGCAATTAGGCATCAATCCGACTGGCAGGGGAGTGGTTAGGGGGAGATCAGGCTGGCAGGCAGAAGCAGTTAGGGGCAATCAGGCAGGCAAGCAGGTGAGCAGTTGGGAGCTAGCAGTCCTGGATTGTGAGAGAGATGTCCGACTCCCTGTTTAGGCCCAATCCTGTAGGATCCGGCCCAAACATGCAGTTGGACATCCCTCGAGAGGTCCCAGATTGGAGAGGGTGCAGGCTGGGCAGAGGGACACCACGCCCTCCATGCACGAATTTTATGCACTGGGCCTCTAGTAGGAAATAATGACCTATAATACCAATGGCCACTTATAAACAGAGTAAACTATTTATCCTCTTTATATGATTCAGTGCCATAAAAATTACTTTTCCCTCTACCAAATCTTTAAATTATCATTATTATATCAGCATATTAAGGTTATAGCACATTTGAATTGCTAAAATAAAGATTATAAATCTCAAAGGGATATCAATATTCTTTCTACTATTGCCAGTCTCATCATTCTCATCATCACCTTCACAATAGGTGTTGATACAAAGCACACACACCTGTGTATTCTATTTTTGTTTTCTATACTTGCCATTGCATATATGTGGAAAATTGAAAAAAGTTTCTTATTCAGAGTATTTTAAAATTATTGAATATTTTATGTAAATATTAATAAAACAGTAATGGATTTTATTTCATAAGGGACATGTATATTTTTATATTAACCTTTAAAAATCTTATTACCTAGTTTTCATTATTACTGAAACTTTGCACTGTATTTTTGTTCTTTTTTTAGTCTTATCAACTGTAAGCAGGTTGTTTTTTTTTTTTTTAATTTTATCTATATTATATTGCAACCTCTATCATATTGTCTTGGCAACCTTGTCATCAATATCATCAACAAGAAGACCAGGATTATTTGTAATTTGCTCTTTTGAAATAGAGTTATTGCCTTGTTATCTGATGAATCTCCAGAAATTTTCCAAGTATGCTTTATCTGTATGTTTCCCTGTATAGATGTCACTTTTTGTTAAAGCTTTTGATGCTGTTTTCTTTGAACACAGACACTTCTCTCTGAGGTTACAAAATATCTCTTCATGTTTGTCTATGTTTTTGTAATTTGGTACTCTCAATACATTATTCTGTTTCTGCCTTACACATGGAAAACTACAGTATTGAAAAATCAGGATTGTAGGTTATAGTTCTGTTCCCACAATTTACATTTTTATAAGAACTTTATTGAAATAATGAATGAGATTATTTTCTATTCAGGCCAAATATAAAGCTTTCCAGATGGACTTAGTAAGTTGTTGCTTTAAGCTGGTCATGTATCCAATCTTTCTGGAAATCTCTGGCCCAATAAAATTTCATCTTAAAGATAAAAGTGATTCTTTTTAATAACCTACCCTTTTGTATGCTCTGAAAAGAGAAATTGAGTAAAACATTAATGGTAAGCCTGAGATTCATATTTCATCATAGTGAGCACAATAGCATGAAATATGTCAATATGCTGATACCAAACTCATTCATTCATTTTTTTTAAGTTTTCAGATCCCATCTCATAATAATTTCATTTTGAAGTTCATCAAGCTGCAACTAGATGCTTGCTGCTTAATAAAGTTTGAGATGAACAGTATCAGAAAACACACAGTTAAGGAAACAAAAGCCCTTCAACTTTTTTTTTTCTTTTCTATATTAGAATCAAATTTCCAGGTCTGGTAGAAACAACTTAAAAGTACACCTGATTCCCTGACCTGTTTGGCTCCATGTTTAGAGCATTGACCCACAGACTAAAGGGTAGTAGGTTCGATTCCCGGTCAAAGTTATGTACCTTGGTTGCAGATTTGATCCCCAGCCCTTGTTGGGGGCATACAGGAGTCAACCAATTAATATGTCTCTCACTTGGATATCTCTTTCTCTCTCTCTCTCTCTCTCTCTCTCTCTCTCTCTCTCTCTCTCTCTCTCTCTTTCTCTTCTACTCTCACTGAAAATAAATGTAAAAAAAATATCCTCAGTGAGCATTTAAAAAAAATACACCTGAAATTTCTATAAGACCTTGCATTTTCACATCTCCACAGCCATGTGTCACAAACAGCATGAGCTTATGAAACTGGTTACTAAATCTAAATCTTGCTGCAGAATGCCAGATATTTCAAGGCTGCTTGACACGTGTATATGACTTATTCCAAGTGAAAAGAAAAGGGAAATATGTTTTTGAATGTATATTGTGTAATATTTCCTTGCTTTACTTTCCCTCTGTCCAGTAGCTTCTCTCAAGATTCCTTGTAAACACTAGAACAGCTTGATTTTCTATTTAGCCAGCCTCTTCAAGTGCAATGGAAGACAATGTTTGTCTTCTTCAATGTAGTTGAAGAAGATTGTTTGATGCTTTGTTTGCATAAACAGAACTCACTCAGTGAAATGTTTTTCTTGCTAAAGGCACCATTGATGCATTGAATCCCATGTTGTGGAGAGGGTCTGTGGACACACATTTGTTCCTAAGAGTATGGCTGTAAATACCTACTTGTAGAAATTGGGGTAATCTTCACACATTATATTTGTATCAGGATATTTTTAATATGTTCACTGGCTATGCCCATATGCTTTGAAATTTTTATCCTGTGTATTGCCATATTGTTGCTTATCAATAAATAAGATAATGCTGGCCAGGCAGAGTGAATGATAGATGATGCTTGCTTTCTGTTCACACAAAGCATTGTTTTTGTTCACACAAAGCATTATTTAAGTTACATGATTTCTTATAGCTCTCCAAATGAATGTTATAACTCTATTATTCTAGAAAATTATTGTGAGGTCAAAGTCTGCCATTGGCTTTCAACTCTAAAAGAAAATTGATAACTTGTTTTTAACAGACATTCAGAATATGCCCATTACATAGCACCAAGGGGAACAGAAGTTAGCATGCGCCAAAAGGATTATTTAAGAGTGTGAGCCACTGGTGCTATGATAAACCATCGTGGGGTGTTTGTAGCATTAGAGGCATCGCTGTCTATTTTTTATTTCAAAAAGCCAAATCTAGAAGGTAAGCTAAGACCTGCCAGTGAGAAGCCAGAGCATCCACAAGACTAGATCTATCCAACGCAGTGTGTACATTCAGTATCTGGTTTGAGCGAGAGGCACAATCAGCAGATGACTGCTGACCAAAGTGTTCAGCAGACAGGATTGACATTTCTCATAGGATATGATTAACCTAGGTAAAAATGCCATTTCCTTATCACTAAGGCAAAATGTCTGGTCTCATAATTAATTCAAGTAGCAATTAGCTTTCAGGTTTTTTAATTTGATAAGCATTTCTATTCCCCATTCAGCTATTATTCCTAGGCTAGAGGACACTTGTATATGGCTAACAGCAGGTATTTTCACCTAAACTTGATTCAAATTTAACTGTTATTCTTTTTCCCCCTTTGTTTTTTGTTATTGTTTGCTTGTTAATTAATCCTCACCCGAGGATATTTTTCCTTCCTTCCTTCCTTCCTTCTTTCCTTTCTTCCTTCCTTCCTTCCTTCCTTCCTTTCTTCCTTCCTTTCTTCCTTTCTTTCTTCCTTCCTTCCTTTCTCTCTTTCTCTCTTTCTCTCTCTCTCTCTCTCTCTCTCTCTCTCTCTCTCTCTCTCTCTCTCTTTCTTTCTTTTGAGAGAGAGAGAGAGAGAGAGAGAGAGAGAGAGAGAGAGAGAGAGGAAGAGAGGCAGAAAGAAACACACAGAGAGAAACTTCTAACAGTTGCCTCCCAACTGGGGGCTGGGAATCAAGCCTGCAACCCAAGTGTGTGCTCTTGACCACAATAGAACCTACAACCCTTTAGCCCACTGGGTTGGCACTCTAATCACTGAGAAACATTAACCAGTGCTTAACTGTCATTGTTTAGGAAAAGGGGGATCAACTTATATTGTGTCCTACTGTTAAACTAAAATACATAACTATCGAAAACTTTTGCCAGCATAGCTAACCTTCAATTTTATTTATTTACTTGACATTGAATTTCCAAGCCTCATTAGGAAGACTTAGGAAGGTTGGCCTCTCAATTTCTAACCATTCTAAAGCCATAATTAAAATTTAAGATGATTCAATATTTGGGGCTCTTAAGAGCAATTAGATAAATGCCTCTCTTCTCAAACTTGAAATTAAATTTTATTTTAATTTCACAGAATTTTCCAAATGTTTCTAAGTCAGTCTATAAGAAACAATGTGATTCCCTTGTGAATTATTTTGCATTTTCTTCCTGCAGCCCAGCTCCCGCCCTCCGGCGCAGAGCGGCAGGCACTCGGTGTCCGTGGAGGTGCAGATGCAGCGCCAGCGGCAGGAGGAACGTGAGAGCTTCCAGCAGGCCCAGCGCCAGTACAGCTCTCTGCCTAGGTACGGTACTTACATACGCTCATCTCCTAAAATTGCCCTGGCTTCTCCCCCATACCCATGATGGTCAGAGAGGAACTGCAAGTGGATGGTAGAGGTTGTGGCCTGGCTTCAAGGCCATCTTACTGTGTGGCAAGAAAGGTGTTTCAGGACATGCCAACATCACCACTTCAATACTGAGTAATGCAAAGGCAGTGCAGGGATTGGACCAGGGTTATAGCTTTGGTTCTGCTGCCTCCCATGTGGAGAAAGTTTCCTCATCTGAAAAATGGAAATATAACTCTTATTTTACTTAGTTCCTAGGGTAACTAGAATAACTACTACTTCAGATATCTAGAGTTCTGTATAAGCGTGGAGTGAATACTCCATGCTCTATACTTAAGTGGGCTCCTTGGTTCCTAACCCTATTGCTCTACTTCCAGCTCTGTGTTGCTTGTGTTGATCCTCACAGGATCCCAGTGTACCCACCTTATTACCTGACAGCCACATAAAGGTACCTCTGCTCTGGGGCTCTGTCAGGCCTAGAAAATGCTCAGGTGACTGAGCCCTCACACACGGAACAACAACCATTTTTCCATCTGAGTATTTCATTATATACAGTAGTGGCCCGGTGCACTAAATTTGTGCACATTACAAGGGGATTAATTAGAGGAAATATTTTAATATTGCTATTTGCCCTTTCTCTATAATAGAAGTGTCAGAAATGAAAGAAAATTAGTAAAATGTATATGAAATTCTTCTTCCTGTCAGAGTCTGGGGCACACCATGGAACCCAGAGTCAAGTCCCTGAACACCCACATGCACCTCAAAATTGCACGAGACCCAGACCTGGGCAGCCCCTACCCTATTGGGCTAGATCCAGACCCAGCCAGTCCTACCCCGTCATGCCCCACCAGGTGAGGGATGTGGCCTGAGATCCCCTGTTGGGCAGGGGATGTGGCCTGAGGTCCCCCATCAAGCCCCATCAGGAGGGGGGTGCAGCCTCAGGTCCCCCAGCCTGGCACTGGGGTGGGAGGTGTGGCCTCAGCGGGGGAGAGAAGGGGTTGCAGCCTGAGGTCCCTCGTCAAGCCCTGCTGGTCAGGGGGGTGCAGTCTGAGGTCTCCAGGCCTGCCACTGGTGTGGGTGTGCAGCCTGAGGTCCACCATCAAGCTGCGCTAGGCAGGGGGCATGGCATGATGTTCCCCAGCCTGGCAACAGGGCAGGGGCTGCGGCCTCAGGTCTCCTGGTCTGGTGCTGGGGCAGGGGGTGCAGCTTGAGGTTTCCCGTGCCAGGTGAGGGGCACGGCCTGAGGTCCCTTGGCCTGGTGCCAAAGTGGGGGCACAGCCTCAGGTCCCTGCTGATTGCTCATTAAGACTCTTTACAGGAATTCGGCCTCTGCTATGGGTGCAACCATCTTGTGTTACGGAAACCCCACCTCCTCTGTGCGAGCAACCATCTTTGTGGCAGAGTGATGGTCAATTTGCATATTTCCTCTTTATTATATAGGAGGAGAGTAAAAAATAAAAATATTTTAAAATATTCAGCTTTCCAAACTTCCCAAAATAAGTTACTCTTAGTAATCACAATCTTATAGGCATTTGTTTTTCTACTTCAAACCTGATGACAAAAACATTTCGGGTACAAAAAAACCCTCCACTTACCTTGTTTTTATCAACTGTTTTGAATTTGAACAGAACAACTTTTATTTGAGGGGAGGAGAAGGAACAAATGCTTATTTGTGTAAACCTAACTGACCAATATAAAAGTGATCTTGATTCAATTTCTAATAAAGATGAGTCCTTTTAACTGTTAAATAATCACTATATTAACTGTGAGAGATTTGACTATATTGACCCAGGTCACCATGGGAATGTGGATGTGAATGAGAATCTATACTGGGGTGAGTGCCATTACTACAGTAACTCATTCATTCAGTTCTTTTTTTCAGTTCATAAAATTATATTTCCTTTGAGTAATTTGTGTTTTTTTTCTTGTATACAGAATTATATTTTCTTTTAAATAGGTAAATAACAGTTACTTAGCCCATTCTAAGTAAGTGTCATTGAAATTTAAATGTGGTCAGGACCTGGAAATCATCTTGTCTTACAAGGAAACAGCTCTTTCCCTTAGGTCACACAGCTAGCATGGAATTCAAACACAAACCTACCCATGCCCTTTATAATCATTAATTTCTGTATCTCATTGCCACCAAAGCTTTTGCTCCTAAGTTTGGAATATTGCAAATGCAGGTGAAAAGTCCCCTTCTGTGCTCTATTGCCCTTAGCATTTGAAAGGAGCCCCTGCATGGCTCAGCCCAGGGTATCAGCTGCTGGATGCCTCGAGAATTAAACATAAAGTTTCTTCCATGTGAGTGCCTTCTCTAGCCCTTTAGCTCTCAGTCATCAGAAAGATGAGCATGATAAAGAAGATGGATTGACACACTGGGTATGGCCCTGCTTCCACAACCATATAGGTGGTCTGTAGTACATCAAGGCCTGTGTGTGTGACTACACCATGCTTTAGGAATATATTTTCTGTGCAGGGACTGGATTCTTAATCTGTTGGCAAATAGTTTGGCTATCTGTATTTTAGTTGTGTTTGAGAGTATTTATAAGTGAAAGAGAACTATCATATCTATACTAATAAAAGCCTAGGTGGCCCTTGCATGTGATGTTGCCACAAGATGGTCACCACAAGATGGCCATGCACACAGTGGAGGCAGGGCCTGGCAGCCGCACCACATGGTGAGGCCTGGGGGTCCCACGGCTCCACGAGGTGTGGAGGAGGCTGGTCCCGGGGAGGAGGTGGGTCACAGCAGGGAAGGGTGGTTGTAGGTGATCAGTCTGGCAGAGTAGGGCAGTTGTGGGCAATCGGGCCATCAGGATAGGGAAGTTGTGGGTAATAAAGCCAGCAGGGGAGAGCAATTGTGGGTGATCAGGCCAGCAGGAGAGCTGGTTAGGGGCAATTAGGCAGACAGGCAGGCAAGTGGTTAGGAGCCAGCAGTCCTGGATTGTGAGAGGGATGTCTGACTCTGGTTTAAACTGGCAGTCGAATATCTCTTAAGGGATCCCAGATTGGAGAGGGTGCTAAAGGCCACCCCCCACCCCCTGAACGGATTTTATGTACTGGGCCTCTAGTAGTGTATATAAGAAGAGAGTGAATTGACATGCACAGCACTAACATTGGGACGTGAGAGAGATGGTGACCAGATGGCCTGGAGGGGTGGGTGCACTGGCAGGAGAGAGACTAGGGCCCTGTTCCTCAGGAAGAGGACACAGATCAATGCTTCCATGGAATTTCTCCTGGTCACATTCCACAGGAGCTCAGTATTCCAAGCATACCCTTTTGTCCTGGCATGTCTCTCACCTCTTCACTCACCACCTGTCCTTTTCCACCAACTCACTCTGCCTCCCTTCCTCTCTCTCTCCCTCTCCTCCTGGTAGAAGTATCTGTATTTCCATGTAGAAGATGATTGCTTCTATTGGAACTACTAGTGTCATTTAGTGTTTCCCTAAATAACTGAAACTTTCCATCTGGGTATTGTGACTCCCTGATCATTAGCCATTTTAGTCTGAGCAGATATGAGAAAAACAGAAAACTCAAAATGAAAGAGTTGTGTACATTTAGGCAACTGGGGTGGTCATGGTGCTCTTCTTCTAGAGCAGTGGTTCTCAACCTTCCTAATGCTGCCACCCTTTAATACAGCTCCTCAAGTTGTGGTGACCCCCAACCATAAAACTATTTTCGTTGCTTCTTCATAACTGTAATTTTGCTACTGTTACGAATTGCAATGTAAATATCTGTGTTTTCCGATGGTCTTAGGCGACCCCTGACAGCGGTTCTCAACCTGTGTGTTACAACCCGTTTCACAGGGATCGCCTAAGACCATCAGAAAACACAGATATTTACATTGCGATTCGTAACAGTAGCAAAATTACAGTTACGAAGTAGCAACGAAAATAGTTTTATAGTTTGGGGTCACCACAACATGAGGAGCTGTATTAAAGGGTCTTGGCATTAGGAAGGTTGAGAACCACTGTTTTAGAGAATCATTCTCAATGTGAATTTTCACACGTGTGAAGACACCAACAGATGTGAAACCAAGGGAGAGGGAAAGATGAAGAAGAAATGGGGAGACAGCAGGAAAATTAGGAGTGCAGAGCCTTGTGCCCCACTGGCTTGCTAGCAGGGCGGAAACTTGAACCCAGTCAAGAACCCAAACAGGAGGTCAGAGGAGGACAGCAGCAGCTTGTATGAGCTTGAATCCAGTCCACATCTCTGACATGTGATATTCTTCAGAGACACTGACCTCTGCTTTTCGGATGTTGACAATTAGCAGGGTTTTATCTAAACAAGTTGGTATGGCATTTGATACCAAAAAAGTTTTGGTATCAAATGCCATAAAAATAGTTCAGCTGCCAAGTGGAACATAAAGTAAAACAAATGGTCAAGACTTTGTCTCAGTCACAGTAGATAAGGTGGTTTGAATTAGAGGGATGTATATGAGCCAGAGTAGTTTGAAATTCTAACTGTAATTAAAGAAGCCGATTGGCAGAATTCAAGTTTCATTTTGAAATGTCAGAAGGAAACATTAGCCAGGTGGTAAAACTGGTTCTGAAGGAAAGGGGTCCTGAGTGGCCCCAAACTCAATTCTCAATCAAACTAAGATTTTTTTTTTTTTTAATTTTTTAAATTCCTAAATCAGTTTTCAGTTTTACTTTCTTTTTTAAAATATATCTTTAGTCTTAAATTAGTTCCTTTATTTAGTATCCAGAAGGCAAATCTCAAACAGAGAATGTTCATAGTCATCAACAGAAAAACTTAAGATTCTTTATTAATTTTTAAAAATTTTCCTGCTGTCTCCCCATTTCTTCTTCATCTTTCCCTCTCCCTTGGTTTCACATCTGTTGGTGTCTTACTTCTCTGCTTTGTACGTCTCTCTTCTCCACTATGTCTTCACACCCTGACGTAGTCTCCCCACCACGCCCATTTGTTATGTCTCTGAGCTGCTTGTCAACTTGTTAGCCTTGGTTTTTATATCTTTCATCCATCTGCATCCTCCTCACTTCGGTGGCTAAATAGCTTTCCACAAGGTGAGTCCTCCACATGATGATGGCCTTCAGACCACTTTAAAGATAATTGTAATCATTGACAAACCAGGTGTGTGTGCTTTCAGCGGATTCAGAAATCTTGAGTGGGCTCATTCCAAGACCAAACAAGCCTACTCTTTGAAGGCAAGGTGACATTGCCTTCAAACTACTCCTCCAACCCCTATTAGTCAGCCATTTACTTGGGGCCATACCTTTCTAAACATTTTGCATATGTTATTTTGTTCATTTCTGCCTCATAACCCTATGAGGTTAGCTATTATTCCTATTTCACAGATGAGAGCATAACTCTCCCAGCATCCCCCAACTGGCAAATGGCAGACTCTAGGTGTGAATCTATGTCTATATAATCCAAAGCCACTCTCCCACTGTGCCTAGTACCCAGGCGGTGGGTTTCCTAGTGTTGGAAACTCTTATTGTCTGCTGCACTCTTATGTTTCTCTGTGACCTGCTCATTTCCTGTGTCTTAATTAAGAATTGTGGGTACCACTAGCTTTCTTACCAAGGAAGCATGTGTGTGTATGTGTGTGTATGCGTGTGCATGTATATGTTTCTACATGTATGTACTTTCTCCCCATACCTTACTTTAAACCTCAGGGAGGTCTGTTTCCTTCTCTCTGTACAATTAGTTTGAAAAAACATTTTAGCTAAAAGAAATTCTTCCACATCATCAGAATTTCTATTCCTAACAAACCTTTAGTGAGTTCTCAGTGTGTGCCTGGAATGGGACATGACCTCCACAGAGTGCATCCTCAGGCTTTCCAGAGTTGGAGTGCGGGCTGAAGAGGGTTCATGGGTCTCAGTTGGACAAGGATGAGAAAGCGGTGAAAGGTCTGCCGCCTATTTCTGATTATCTTTAGATTGATAACCAGCTTATGAAGGAGTCCCACTTTTGTTACTGTAACCTCAGTACCAAGTTTGTTGTTTTAATTAAAGTTTCATGATTAATGTCAAATCCCTGGTTTCATGCTGGCTCTTTCCATCATTCCTGTCTCTGCAGATTAATGTATGACTTTTTAAGTGAAGATAATCAGTGCTTTGGGCAAATAAAGTATTCCACCAAATATAAGGAGTCTTGCTTGGGCTGATTGTACAAATGGTCTGATTCCTGTTAACCCCTTGAATGTCATAAGCATCTATAGATGCTTTAAAATCAATTTTTGTGAGAATTTTCAACTGAAAATATTCAAGAACACCCGAATTTTGAGTAATATTTTTAGTTTTATAATATTCATTGCAAATTGATTTTTTAAATTAAATTCAAAATATCATTGCATGTGGGGATGGTTTCTGTTTTGGATGTGTGGCAGTTAACTGGTTAGAAGAGAGCCAGATAGATATACTGTAGACTGCTCAATTAATCATAGTCATATCCAAGATGATGCTGATCATTAGTTCATTTCCTTATTGAAAATATCCCTGACTACATTTTAGGCCATATGAAAAATAGGCAGATTTGATCCAAAGTCCTATTGATGGCGCTTTTGAATGTTCAAAATGCAAATTGCTTCATCCCTGAGGGAGATCCAGTGACTGCATCGACCCTGTTTTTCCTCTGCAATGGCCCTTTTGAACATTCTATCATGTGTGTTGATGCAAAAGGCTGAGTAATATATACTGTCACAAATGGTTCTCTTACTGATACATGGAGCAATAGATTTTGTTTTATTACTGGATTCTCTCTCCCATTTTTAAAGCTAAATATTAGGGCTTGTCTTCCTTTCTAACAAAAAAATTGTTTTACTTTATCATATCCAATCTTATTGTGAATTCATAAAAGCATCTAGAGAATTGATAATAAATTAAAGACATTTCAAAACAGTAATGTTTCCTGAAAATGATGCATAACTTTATTGCACAAATGATGATAATTTGAAAGTTCTGTGTGACTGATTTATTCCCCTGTCCTGTGGTGACCAAATGTGAGTTTAGTAAGCTGTCCTGGCCTTCGTTGAGGGCACAGTGCAGGGAATAGCAGTGCTCACTCTGCAGACTTCCAGGTCTATGGTCTTGATGAGCATGTGATCTGAGGAGTGTCCATGGCTGACATATACAACTCAAAAGCCAGGGCTGTAGGGACTGCCTGTTGCATTTTTAATCATAAAGGAGTTGGGACTTAAATCTCTCATAGCTGGACTCACATTGTAATCCATTACATGTACTTCCTATTAGCCAGCATCTCTGGCTCCATGGTGGCAGTTGTGTAAAATATTTGTTTTGCTTGTTTAGAATCGAATTGTAATGTTCTGAAGCAAGCAATTATTGCTAGAGTAGATGCTGCCAAATCTCTAATCCTCCTCTAAAGCATTTGCCAATGTGTCTGAATTGCAGGAGATATATGTTCCCTAAGTAGAATAGACAGTACCTCCCAGACATGGAAGGCAGGCCCTATTTCTGAATAGCTGTCGGTTAGTTCTCTCTCCTGTTGAGCCCTTGTTTGTTCACTTGTCTGAGATTTGAGCTTGCTGACAGTCACATTTTCTTCCTCCAGCCCCCATCACAGTGCCTGGAGCACAGAACTATTTGTTGAAATATTGAAATGCATATGCCCCCTTACTCCTCCCCTCCTCCTTTTATTTCTCTCCTTCTCTCAATCTCATACTGACCTTTGTCTTTGCTTTCTAGGCAAAGCAGGAAAAATGCCAGCTCTGTCTCCCAGGATTCCTGGGAGCAGAACTACTCACCTGGGGATGGCTTCCAGAGTGCCAAGGAAAGCCTCAGGTACTCCAGCTACCAAGGCTCCAGAAACGGCTACCTGGGCGGGCACGGTTTCAATGCCAGGGTGATGCTGGAGACCCAGGAGCTCCTTCGCCAGGAACAGAGGCGGAAAGAGCAGCAGATGAAGAAACAGCCTGCCCCCGAGGGGCTCAACAGCTATGACTCGTATAAGAAAGTCCAGGACCCCAGTTATACTCCCCCTAAGGGGCCCTTCCGGCAGGATGTGCCCCCATCCCCATCTCAGGTCGCTAGGCTGAGCAGACTCCAGACTCCTGAAAAAGGAAGACCCTTCTATTCCTGAGCAGAAGAGCGGATGCTTCATTCATGCAATGAAGGACATTTTCCTATGGAGACTTGTATCTGGGGAGTTTTTTTTAAAAAACTTCCTTGGTACTATGGAATATTTCTGTTGTTGGTATCAGTGCCTTTAAGAAGTATGAGCAAAGAAATGGAAGGCCTTAATGTCTTTGCCAGTATGTCTCAAGTGTATTTCATGGAAGGATTCCCCACTGTCTGACAATCATCTGCCTGAAGCATTTGTCACAGCATCTCTCAGGAGGACCAGGAATTTTTGGCCTGACTCAAGAGATGTTCATGGATTTGTGTCACAGCCCCGTACAACTAGTGGTGACAAATTACCTTGAAGCTGAGGTAATGTTGTTTTCTTTTTATTCCCTTTAAATTTTCTGAGATGTGGGGCAAGTCTCAGTTTCTGGTGGATAAAAGTGGCTGACATACTCCAGAAATTGGGACTTTACAGTACCTCATAGCACAGTCATTTATAATTGGTATGGTTTTCCCTTTTCATTCTCTGCTCTTCATAACAGGAAAGTTCCTTCATGTTATTAAGACGTTAAGCCATATTCCATCACTGTCGGGTTTTCATGGGGCTTCTTTTGTAACTGCCTTATAACTAAACATTACCAATAAAGTGATCATCTATTCTGAGATTATGAATGCTCTTATTTAGTTATGTTCCTAACACATGTGTTGAGTCACCACACCATGTATGGAAGGCTGGAGGGACCTCTGGCGAGGTCTGGGCTGCCCATTGTCCTATGCATATCATGATGTGGGAGGTGGTAGCTAAGGAAACAATTCTCCCAGGATAAGCTTCTGGTCCATTATATCCAAGTAATTATTTTAATTGGTTTTTGATTGACAGGTTGGCAGGAAGGGCATAGAGTGGGACAAAGATAGGTCATTCATTTGGAGATTCTAAAAACTCATCTGCTTTTTACCATTCCCAAGTCGATAGGAATTGACATATGTCTAATGTATCCACATGCTATATGTCTGCTTGGTGATGCCATCCATGTTACTAAATAATTCTGCTATGAAAAAGAAAAGACAAATTAGGGAAAACCTGTCACACTTCACAAGGAGAACATTCTGGTGTCTGCAAAAGTGCTTCTCATGCCAATATTTTCACATACCTGTGGGTCACTGGACTTCATCTGCTCTCGCATTTTCATCTTTTTGTCTCAACATCATGTATTGTAAACCATGGCTGAGTTGCTAAAGTGCCTGCAATCCCGATGTGAAAAGCTTGAGATAAAAGCTCCACATCCATGTATTAATGAAAAAGGAAAAACAAAAAAAAGAGACATGTACTGATATGCCTATTTTTTTTTACTGGCACATTGTATTTTGTGTTCACTTGTTTTTAGAAAATGTGTGAAGTGCCCATATACGTACCTATGTCTCTTTTGCATTTCTGTAATGTTCTATTTGTTCATGATGTTCAGTGGTGTTACCAAGGCAAACACAGTGACCTTGAATGACAGGGCTCTTTCTCACAGCCCACCCTAAGCTTGAGAAAAAACTTTCTCTGTACATATGAAACTTAAAATAAAAGGCATATTTCTTCCTGTTGTTTGTGGTGTCTGTAGTATTCTTGTGGAAACTCTCCTACCTGAAGTTATTTTTTTAATGTATAGGGTATTTCAAAAAATGTATACACACACTTTGGATAATTATACAGGCCAGTTGAGATAAAGAACCTGCCATTTTGGGCATTTGCAAAGGATCAGCCTCCTGGTCAGTGAGAAAATTAACAATTTTTTTTAATTTGTTAATTAAAACATTAAATTAAAAAGTGTTTATTAAGCCAAAACCGGTTTGGCTCAATGGATAGAGCATCGGCTTGGGGACTGAAAGGTCCCGGGTTCAATTCCGGTCAAGGGCATGTACCTTGGTTGCGGGCACATCCCCAGTAGAGGGTGTGCAAGAGGCAGCTGGTCGATGACTCATCAATGTTTCTAACTCTCTATCTCTCTCCCTTCCTCTCTGTACAAAATCAATAAAATATATTTTTAAATTGTTCATTAAAACATTTTTCATTTTCAAAGTCAGCTATTTAAGTATGTATACATTTTGGGGGGACACCCTGTATGTTAGCAGATGTGGGATATTTTTTCATATTTAGTGAAAATTGGAAAAGGGACCTTCTTTTAAAACATATTTTAAATTGATGTTTAGAGAGGGAGAGGAATGGGGAGAGACAGACAGACAGATATCAATCTGTTGTTCTACTTATTCATGCATTCCTTAGTTAATTCTTGTATGTGCTCCATCTGGGGATTGAACCCACAACGTTAGCATTATCAGGGGAACCTTCTGATGAGTCCCATGGAAGGCCCAGGCTGCCAAAAGAAGTCTGGGAAATTCTGAATTGAAAGAACCAATACATTAGAACTAAATTTAAAACCAAAGACAGAAAACTATTTCTATTATTGCCCTTTCCTTGCTTTGCATCATTTCAGCAAACCAAATGTTTTGATTGTGTACAGTGAGCCCAAAGAAATGTCCAAATTCTAGTTCACTTCCAATATTATATTTCTCAAATTATGAAATAAAGTTTTACTAAATCTTTCAGGTGGACATTTGGTATTAATTGTATGATGCTTTGATGATATGTAGATCCTAGGTATGTCTTCTGCATAAATGTTGACATGGTCCCTACCCAAAAGGCAAGCTTTGCTAAATCCTGTCAAAAATAACTTCTTGTGGAGTGCCTGGCAACAATTAGTTGCTTGTCACAGCAGCCCTCATCCGGTCCCGAGATCCAAATTCTATCATCTCAGGATTCTAATAAGAGATCGATAGCAAGCCAAGTAATCATTGGTTCTTATATGCATGCAAGATGTGGAAAGTAGAAAAGCAAGATGGACAGATTTGTTAATTTTCTCACTGACCAGGAGGCCGATCCATTGCAAATGCCCAAACTGGCAGGTTCTTTATCTCAACTGGCAGTGAGAAGTAGAGCAGGAGAGGTAATATTGAACGTTGTGGGGACCCAAATCACAAAGGACTTTATAGATTAAAACTGGCTAAGGGAGCCATACTAGAAGTAGTCATTGTTATGGGTCATCACAGCAGTGAGACTCTGCTCCACGAGGCAGTCTTGTCCAAATGAGCTGATGACCTGTGGCTCCAGAACACTTCACCAGGCCTTGCACAAATCATGGGGAAAGTATGGCTATGGAAGGCCAGGCTGGGCCTGCCCATACCTGCAGGGGACACCCCAAGTCATGAAATGGGCAGCCACATTTGGATGAGGAATCACTCAACTATCCCTCAGAAAACTTGGTTTAATTATTACATTATCACCACTTTAGACCATTAAGACTATATAGTCTTAAAAGAAATTTATATATAAACTAGAGGCTCAGTGCACAAAATTTGTGCACAGGGTGGTGGTTAGGGGGTTGTTCCTCAGCCCAGCCTGCACCCTCTCCAATCTGGGACCCCTCAAGGGATGTCTGACTGCCCGTTTAGGCCTGATCCTAGTGGGCATCCCTCTCACAATCCAGTACTGCTGGCTCCCAACTGCTTGCCTGCCTGCCTGATTGCTCCTAACTGCTTCTGTCTGCCAGCCTGATCACCCTCTAACCACTCCCATTCCAGCCTAATTGATGTCTAACTGTTCGTTTGTCCCCAACTTCCTTTTTCTGCCAGCCTGGTCACTCCCAACTGCCCTCCCATGCAGGCCTGGTCCCTCTCAACTGCTCTCCCCTGCTTGCCTGGTGCCTCCCAACTGCCCTCCCCTGCTTGCCTAATGGCCCCCAACTGCCCTCTCTTGCAGGCCTGGTCCCATCCAACTGTTCTTCCCTCCTGGCCATCTTGTGGAGGCCATCTTGTGGGCAGGGGAGGGCACTTGGGAGGGACCAGTCCTGCAAGGGAAGTCAGATGAGGGCGATCAACCCTGCAGGGGGAGGGCAGTTGGGAGGGACTCAGGCCTGCAGGGGAATGCAGTTAGAGGCAAACAGGCTGGCAGGGAGCAGTTAGTCATTAATCAGGCTGGCATAGAAGTGGTTAGGGGGTGATCAGGCTGGCAGACAGAAGCAGTTAGGGGCAATCAGGAAAGCAGGCAGGCAAGCAGTTGGGAGCCAGCAGTCTGGATTGGGAGCAGGCAGTCGGACAACCCTCGAGGGGTCCAAGATTGGAAAGGGTGTGGGCTGGGTTGAGGGACACCCCCCACACACGAATTTTATGCATCAGGCCTCTAGTATTATATAATGTATCTATATTATATGTAATTTAAACACCACCACCACCCACTGGTTGATTAGAACACAGTTGCTCGGAGGTCAAAGCACCCACAATGGCATGGCTTGACCCATGAACAGGAAGGAGAAATTTCTTTCACTGGAAACCCTGTATGAAAGGGGCCAGAAAATAGTCAAATGGAGCTGACCACTTTGTGGGCATTTTGTTGCCATGTAAGACCAGAGATTGTCATTGCTTAAGACTTAGCCAGATATCCTGGTCATCTTGGGGACTGCTCCCTTTTCTTTAATAGCTTTTATTAGAGAGTACATGTTTGTAAAGACATATAACAAGCATGTGTAGCATCTATAATAATCTATAATAACAAAAGGTAATATGCTAATTAGACTGAATGTCCTTCCAGATGAAGCCAAAGTCAGAGGGAAGCCGGGGTCCTGAGTGCTAGAGGGAACCTGGTGCTTGCAGCTGGGGAAAGGAAGGTCTACTCTTGCATGAATTTTGTGCATTGGGCCTCTAGTATTTCTATAATTATGTGTCTACTAGAGGCCCTGTGCACAAAATTCATGTGCGGGGGCTGGGAGGGTGTCCCTCAGCCCAGTCTCTAACTGGGACCCCACTGGATCAGGCCTAAACGGGCAGTCAGACATCCCTCTCACAATCCAGGACTGCTGGCTCCCAACTGCATGCCTGCCTGCCTTCCTGATTGCCCCTAACCACTTCTGCCTGCCAGCCTGATCACCCCTTAACCACTCCCCTGCCAGCCTGATTGATGCTAACTGCTCCCCTACC